TTCTACTCCATCTTTTCCTGATTTTGAATGTTGTGTGCATCTGAGGTACCCTTGACTTTTTTTGTAGGAGACTTGCTTTTTGTGCCTAGACACCTAGACAATTCTTTTTTCATGCTCAGAGTTTTGTTAACCAGGTATATTCATTTTCCATAGCTTCCAAGACCACAAACTTAGTAGTGTAAAACAACACAGATGTATTATCCCACAGTTCAGTGGGTCAGAAGCCCTTGGATTCAGCAGGCATCTCGGTTCCAGTTCCCAGTAGGCCAGGATCAAGGTGTCTGTCAGCCTGAAGCCTTCTTTGGCAAGAGTCGACTTCCAGGCTCATTTGAATAATTGGCAGAATTCAGTTCCATGTGGTTATAGAACTGAGATCTTCATTTCCCTGCTGGCTGTGGGCTGGGAGGTTGTTCTCAATTTCTAGAGGCCACCTGCATTCCTTGGCTCATGGCCTCTTCCATCTTGAAGCCAGCAACTGCGGGTAAGTTCCTCTTACACTTCAAATCCCTCTCACTTACTAGTTTGCTTACGTTTCTGACTCCAGCCAGAGGGATGTCTCTATTTTTAAGGATGTCTGTGATTATATTAAGCCCACCAAAATAATCTGGGATTATCTCCTCATCTCGAGGTCACACCTGTAAAGTCCCTTTTGCTGTGTATGGTAATGTATGCACACGTACTAGGGATTAGGGCATGGGAGTATTTGCTGGGGTGAGGAGCCATTATTCTACCTACAACTCTAGGTTTTTATGTTAATCATTTTTATTACTTTTTCCTGGAAGACAGTGTACCTTTTTGGAATGTATTTCAGTCATTTTTTTCATTTTATTTCTGAGCACCTTTTCTGTTTCATGTATTGGAATCTCTAAATGAAGAATCCAGTTATCATCAATATTGGATTACCTATATTCTCTTCAATTTAGTTCCTTAAAATTGTGCTTTAGAAAGTCAATTTTATAAAAATGTAGTTTACATACAGTAAACTATGCCTATTTGAAGTGTACCATCGATGAGTGGTTTTTTGTTGTTGTTGTCATTGTTGTTTTTTGAGGTGGAGTATCACTCTGTTCTTCAGGCTGGAGTGCAGTGGTGTGATCTCAGCTCTCTGCAACTTCTGCCTTCTGGATTCAAGCAATTCTCCTGCCTCAGCCTCATGAGTAGCTGGGATTCCAGGCATATATGACCATGTCCAGCTAATTTTTGTATTTTTAGTAGAGATAGGGTCTCACCATGTTGGATCTCACCTGGTAGGGTCTCACCTGGTCTTGAACTCCTGGCCTCAGGTGATCCACCCACCTCGGCCTCCCAAAGTGCTGGGATTACAGGCGTGAGCCCCAGTGTCTGGCTGATGAGTTTTGACAGATGTGTATACCCCTTAAACTCTAGCCCCATTCAAGATCCAGAACATTTCCATCCCCCTAAAAGTTTTCTTTGCAGCTTCTCTTTCTCTCTCTCTCAACACTGCATCTGCTTTCAAGTCTGGCCTCTATGTCATTAATTTGATCTTCAGTCATGTTGCTTCTGTTTTTTCCTAGTTCTGAATTACTTGTTAGATTTGTGACAATAATATTGTTATGTTTCACAGCCGGTTTCCTCAGTTCTGCCATTTTCCATTTTACTCGTTTTATCATCTCATCTCAAAGCTCTCACATTAGTGACGTGATATTCTTTTTAAGTTCTTCCATTGTGCAAAGATCAAGGGACCACAATCTGTTCCTCTGGTTGTGTTTTGCCCAGACATGGCTCTTTGAATGTATTCCTTTCTTTCTTTTTTTAAAAAAATAATAACTGGGGAGGAGAGACAAGATTCAGAATTCCGTGAATACTATATCTTTAATTTAAATGAAAAATAATACCTAGAAGGAAGTCATTCTGGATTATGTGTAATTATTTTTTAGTTGCCATGGCTTTTTAATTTTAAACCTCTAAGTCACTTGTTGTTATTTGGATGGAACTAACATCTACTTTTTAAGAGGATTTTTTAAAAGATCGTTGAAAACCAACTTGAAATATACAGAAAACCTAGGAGAACAATGAATATAACCATCATTCCCTGCTGGGAATTGAGGTGAACTTTCTTTCTTTTTCTTTTTTCTTTTTTTTTTTTTTGAGATGGAGTCTCATTCTGTCACCCAGACTGAAGCTCAGTGGCATGATCTTGGCTCACTGTAACCTCCACCTCCTGGGTTCAGGTGATTCTCCTACCTCAGCCTTCCAAGTAGCTGGGATTATAGGTGTGTGCCACCACGACTAGATAATTTTTTTTTTTTTTGGTAGAAATGGAGTTTCAGCATGTTGGCCAGGGTGGTCTCAAACTCCTGACCTCAGGTGATTCACCCACCTCAGCCTCCCAAAGTGCTAGGATTACAGGTGTGAGCCACTGTGCCTGGCCAAGGTGAACTTTTTTACTCGAGGTGAACCTTGGGTAAAAAGGTTCTCAGTCACCAACACATAGAAGTCTAATTGAATGAAAATATTTATTTCCCATGCATACATACATACATGTACATATGGGGCAGTTCATATGCTATGATCTATTTTGTCTAAAATCAAAAAATAGTATATAGGTATATATAGATAGTATATGTTAGACTACACGGTATGTATGTAGCATATATGTATAATATATTTATTTCAGTTAACAATCTTCAAGAAAGACTGTTCTTTATCAATTCATACCTAGACCCCCATCTTTGTAATTGACTGCATATTATTACCCTGTATGGATTCCTCATCTTTAAGTAGTCTTCTTTCCAGTTCTACCATGAGAGTGGCAAAGAAAGAAAAGAAACATCAAATATTAACTCCAAAATTGTCCCATCCTGGGAAGTTGAGGAAGCCCTCACATGGAATCTGAGAACTAGAGAATAGAGTTCCCCACTAACAATTTTCAGTACAACGAACAACATGTTTTATGTTGATTGATATTTCTTTGCAGGACTTGTATATAGCAATGGTATTTCATTCTGTTGATTGGGGGTGTGCTTTTTTGGACAACTATAGTTAAGTCTTGCCTGGGGAAAGAAGGTTAGATGACTCTGTGAGAACCTTACAACCCTGTCTTTCTGAGATTAGAAATATTAAGCTTTGGAACTGTGTCTTAAATAAACATCTTAGCAGTGTTTTCTCAAGTTATTTAGTAGAACATTATCCCATGGATAAGGGTCTATATTCACTTAAGTTTATGAAATGATGCATGTGATATTTCTCTCTTAAGCATTTGTAGTATGCATTTATAGATCATAATATTTGGAAAAGCTTTGCAGTGGATAAATCTGTTGAACATTATTGAGCCCAAAGTTTTCAAAACGTATTCTATTACTGAACTCTTTTTCCTCTATCACTTAATATCTCATGATACAAAGTGTTGCTTCAGAGTATCTTAAATATATCTTAACTATATCTGTCCCTACGGAATCCAGTTTTCAAAATTCTGTGCAAGGGTCCAGTAAAGGACAGAATACTTGCCAGATAGTAAATATTTTAGGCATTGTAGGCCAAATGGCTCCTATTGCAAATGTTCACTTCTGTTATGTAGCACAAAAGCCATAGACAATAGGTGGACAGATGAGTGAGGCTATATTCCAGTACAACTTTAGTTATGCACAGTGAAATTTAATTTTATATAATTTTCACATGTCACATAATATCTTTTTTTCTCCCAGCAGTTTAAAAATGTAAAAATGATTCTCAGCTGGTGGGCTGTACCAAAGATAGGTGGGCCAGATTTGACCCATTGGTCATAGTTTGATGACCTTTGATTTAGTGGATAATAATTCAGAATAAGAATTAAATGCTAGGCCGGGCGCGGTGGCTCAAGCTTGTAATCCCAGCACTTTGGGAGGCCGAGGCGGGTGGATCACGAGGTCGAGAGATCGAGACCATCCTGGTCAACATGGTGAAACCCCGTCTCTACTAAAAATACAAAACATTAGCTGGGCATGGTGGCACGTGCCCGTAATCCTAGCTACTCAGGAGGCTGAGGCAGGAGAATTGCCTGAACCCGGGAGGCGGAGGTTGCGGTGAGCCGAGATCGCGCCATTGCACTCCAGCCTGGGTAACAAGAGCGAAACTCCGTCTCAAAAAAAAAAAAAAAAGAATTAAATGCTTTGTTCAGCCAGATTGTGTGATATTTCTTTTGTTTTAAAGAAGATCCAGAAGCTTAGTGCCTTTGTATGTGAAGCATAAAAGAATATTAAAGCTTCATCCACTCTGTAAAAAGTATTTAAGATACCCTAAAATTTAGCTATTAAACTTGAGACAGTTTAATACTACTCTGCCCATTACAGAGGATAAGCTCAGTACTAATTTACTGAGTAAATATTGGTGAAGATCTCCATACTATAAATGAAATCAGATTAGAAATTATCTCCACGTGATGGTTTTATTTATTACTAAATCTTAAAACCTTTGTAGTTTTGTTTTTTTTTTTTTTTGAGACAGAGTTTCGCTCTTGTTACCCAGGTTGGAGTGCAATGGCGCAATCTCGGCTCACCGCAACCTCTGCCTCCTGGGTTCAGGCAATTCTCCTGCCTCAACCTCCTGAGTAGCTGGGATTACAGGCATGTGCCACCATGCCCAGCTAATATTTTGTATTTTTAGTAGAGATGGGGTTTCACCATGTTGACCAGGATGGTCTCGATCTCTTGACCTTGTGATCCACCTGCCTCAGCCTCCCAAAGTGCTGGGATTACAGGCTTGAGCCGCCGCGCCTGGCCAACCTTTGTAATTTTTGCAAAGGCCATAGCACAGATTTGAATTATAAAATGGATGTCAAAGTAGAATATATGTTTAGTGAATTAGTCTTTCTGTTGCTAGTAAGATTTGAAAGTTTGTTAGCTGCGTTATTGACCATCAACAAAAGTATTAAATTCCAAATGCATGGAATTCCCCCAAGTGAAACTGGTTATTCTTGTCTTCGTTGAATATGTCACTGCTTTTCTGGCCTATATTTAATGACCCTCAGTGTCCTTTTCTGGTGGCTCCCTGGTTTTCCCCAGGTTCATTCCAGAACCCTGGTCAGCCTGCAGTACCACGTGTGGGCCGGGTGTTCAGGTCCGAGAGGTGAAGTGTCGTGTGCTCCTCACGTTCACGCAGACCGAGACTGAGCTGCCCGAGGAAGAGTGTGAAGGCCCCAAGCTGCCCACGGAACGGCCCTGCCTCCTGGAAGCATGTGACGAGAGCCCGGCCTCCCAGGAGCTGGACATCCCTCTCCCTGAGGACAGTGAGACGACTTACGACTGGGAGTACGCTGGGTTCACCCCTTGCACAGCAACGTGTTTGGGAGGTATTTGAACCTTTGCTTAAGGGACAGTTATGTTGTGTGTTGCTAGTGGATTGAGAAATTGCTGGCCGGGCGCGGTGGCTCAAGCCTGTAATACCAGCACTTTGGGAGGCCGAGGCGGGTGGATCACAAGGTCAAGAGATCGAGACCATCCTGGTCAACATGGTGAAACCCCGTCTCTACTAAAAATACAAAAAATTAGCTGGGCATGGTGGCGCGTGCCTGTAATCCCAGCTACTCAGGAGGCTGAGGCAGGAGAATTGCTTGAACCCAGGAGGCGGAGGTTGCAGTGAGTCGAGATTGCGCCATTGCACTCCAGCCTGAGTAACAAGAACGAAACTCCGTCTCAAAAGAGAAATTGCTAAATCAAGGAAGTCAAATATGCAAATTAGCAGACGTCTAAAGGAGGTGAAGTCATTCAAATAACTGAAAACTATACTTGTTTCCTTCCTTCCTTCCTCCCTCCATCCCTCCTTCCCTCCCCTCCCTCCTTCTCTCTCTTTCTCTCTCTCTCTCTCTCTCTTTCTCTTTCTTTCTTTCTTTTGTGATTATTTTAGAAGGTAAAGGAGTGTAGGACTCTATCCTAACCAAAAGTATGTTTCTTTGCCTGAGAATCGATCTGCATAACTGGGATGGGGGCGGGAATCACTGGTTCACATGGAATAACTAGAAGAATGCAGAATGGGTAAGTTAAGGCCATCTTGTGCGTAAATCAATCTTACAGATTGAAGTAGCTTGGAATTGCCATTCCTGATACAACTCTAGATCGGAATTTGTTCTCAGAAAATATTTGGGTTCATATCTGCACATTGGGCCAGCACCTAGGGGAAAACACTCATCACCCTGATTTATGTTTGTGTGCCTAGAGGGCGGCACACACAGCCAGGAAACCCTGTTAGGATTAGAAAGTGGTTGTATGGCCAGGTGACCCCTTTGGGGTGAAAAGTTGGCCCCCTGATGATTTGTGCAATCTAGGATCCCAAAGGAAGTGGAGCAGCAGTTAGCAGGAGTCCAGATAGCCGCTCTCGAGGACTCTATTGAAAGTAAAAACATAGAAATAACAAAGAAGAAAACTGTATCTGTTACTCATATGAAGGAGACTGGGTCTGACCAGGAATCCAGAGCCCCTGTTACCCTGTCCTTTGACCCCTGACTGTGCCTTCCAGCCAGCTGCCGTGTGCAGAGCTTGGTGCCTGAATGTGCTCTGCTCTCAGTCCACCCAGCGGTGGGAAAAGCACAAGGAGCTCCTGGCTCAAGAGCATGCTTTACTCCTCGCAGTAGGCTTCAGCCCATTACTTGAAACTCCCTATCAGGTTGTGGAGCTCGTGGCCCGTTCATTGTGCCTGAACCCCTCACTCTCTGTTTCCTGGGCTCTTGAACCTGAATTCTCAATCCTTGTCATCTCTATGACTTGATTCTGTCTTTCTCTTTTCTGTCTAATTCAACTTCTATACCTGCCTCTCCTTGCCACTTTTGTCTAACATTGCCAGCCTGGCAATAAACCCAGCTAAAGTGGCCTGGGCCTTATCCTCAGACTGCCCCTAAACTACTGCCTTGCAGACAGAGTTGCACATGTGGACTTTGCTGCCTCTGGATTCTTTCTCCCTCTTACTTCTGTCTGGTTGCTAGAAGTCCATGCCATCTAGCCAGGAATTTAGACTCTGGTTTACTTGGACCTCAAATGCCTGCGTTATCTCTTCCCTCTACAGCACATTGTCTCAGTGCCCCCCACACTGCCATGTGTCTGTTCTTGCCCAATCCAAACTCCTGCCCACTCTAGAATTCAGAATCCTGGACACTTTCTCTTTCAATGTCTTAGAAACCTTAACTCTAACGTGCCCTTGGCAATTTGGAAACTGGCGCTTTCTCTTGATGAGTTTGGGGAATCCCTCTAGAGGTAGCCACTGAGATGCAACGATGGTCTCCTATTCCATCACAATAATACATGCCTGGAACTTTCTACTGTATGACTACAAAATGGCAGTTGTCTCCACCGCTTCTGAGCCACCACATTGCTGCAGTTGCGCTAGAGACTTGGAGCTGTGTCTTTCATTAGGAGAGCAGAAATGAGTCCAGCTATTGCTTGCACACCCCAGCATCTACCTTGTAATCTCAAGCTTTTAAATGCTCTGGGTAGAATCCCTGTTTCATCTTCTCCTGACTAGTGAGATCCCCTCAAGTTGGGAAAGCATAGCATGTTGGGTACTGGGAACTCAACAGGCCAGTCAGAGTTGCCCAAAGAGAGATGACCAGGTAAATTCGAATTCAGCTGAGAGAGACTGCTGTTAGGCTTCATTTTGGGCGCCTTTTGCTAAAATACTAGAATCTGCCTTGTGTTCCCGGTACTCACTGAGATGGCCCTAGATTCAACCTGCAGGGTGACTGAACCCACAGGATAATTTTCTCTCTTCTTTTTTTTTTTCAGTAACAGCTTTATTGATATATACTGCACACACCATATAATTTTTGCGTTTGAAGTATACAATATAGTGATTTCTAGTTCCAAAGTTGTGCAGCCATTAACACAATCAATTTCAGAAACTTTAATTGCCTCCCAAAGCAGCACTATATCTGTAAGCAATCATATCCCATCTTCCCTCAAACTCTAACCTCTGGAAACCACCACTCTTCCATATAATGTACAGAATGGAATTATGTAACATGTGGTCCTCCTTGACTGCCATCTTTCACTTAGCATAGTGTTTTCAAGGTTCATCTATGTTGTAGCATGTGTCAGTACTTCACTCGTTTTTATGGCCAAATAGTATTCCCTTAGTATATGGTTACACAACATTTTATCCATCATCGGTTGTTAGAAATTTAGGTTGTTTGCATATTTGGCATATTGAGAATAGTGCTGCTGTGAACATTCATGAATGTGATTTTGTATGGACATACATTCTTATATCTCTTGGTTACATATCTTGGAGTAGATAGAATTACCTTTGAATCCATGTAAAACATACAAGTTTTTTGACAGTTGACTAATTGAGTTTGATTATCCTTAGTGGCTCTGTGTAACTTTTGACCTGCTATGAGAAGAGAAACTGCCTTGCATCTGTCAGAAATGCAATGCAGTATTCAGATGGGTGACGTTAAGGTGCCCATTTGCTTTATGATATATTCTTATGTATCTGAAACACATTGCCCATATTTTAAAAGAGCTCAAGTTGGTAGCCTTTCACCACTCAGTTAAGCATCAATTTAGCCTTATAGAGTATATTTTATCATTTAATCCTGGAATAATATATTGAAATGAGCCTTGGACACCTACTAACCCAAATGTTATAGTTGGGGAAGCTGAGACTCAGATTCCATTATAAAATCAAAAATAAAAGACGAATAACTTGATTCTCATTCATTAGAGAGGGTTGGTTAAACTCTAAGTACATATAATAAGCTTCCTAACTTTACAAAAAGTGACATTTTTTAATTTCTTGGGTTCAGGATTAAAGTTCTTATAATAAATAACTAAATTCTATAAAAACTGGCCAGGCACAGTGGCTCACGCCTGTAACCCCAACACTTTGGGAGGCCGAGGTGGGTAGATCATGAGGTCAGGAGATCAAGACCATCCCTGGCTAACATGGTGAAATTCTGTCTCTACTAAAAAAATACAAAAGTTAGCCAGCATGATGGTGTGTGCCTGTAGTCCCAGGTACTCAGGAGGCTGAGGCAGGAGAATTGCTTGAACCCAGGAAGCAGGGGCTGCAGTGAACCAAGACCGTGCCACTGTATTCCAGCCTGGGTGACAGAGCAAAACTGTGTCTCAAAAACAAAAACAAAACCAAAAAACCTGAAGAGCTAAGTCATAAAACCAAAATCCTTTAGAAAGGCTGGGATGAGAATTGTGGGGGAGGTGACTCATGCCTGTAATCCCAGAACTTTGGGAGGCTGAGGCAGGAGGATCTCTTGAAGCCAAGAGCTCAAGATCAGCCTGAGCAACATAGCAAGACCCAGTCTTTAGAAAAAAAAAAAAAAAAAAAAAAGGAAATAAATAAAATAAAATAAAGGCTGGGAATTGGGTACTAGCTCTGTGTTACAATCCATGGTCCTTCACCAAGTACGACACTAAATCGTCAGGGATGTAAAATAGACAGAACATACTCTTTGCCTTGATGAAGCACAGCTTTTGGTTTTTTGGCTTGACTGTCCCAACTACACTGCTTATAATCAGTGGTACTTGCCTCTGTGATCTACTTCAATGTGGTTCAGTAAGCTCAGCTTCCATAAGTCCACTAATGTGTGAGTTATGAATGTGGGCTATTAGCCTTCACCCTGGATAGCAGAGAGGGTAAGTCTGCAATGACTGACAACCACAATAAAATGAAATTTACACAGGCATATATTTATTTCTTCAACATTCTTATTTCTGCTAGAAAAGTAATACACAGAAATGACAAGTTTCTGAAAAGATCAAATTTGGTCGCATTCTGATATTCTGTATTTTCTAACCTATTTTCACATCATACAGGAAATAAGAATAAATCCATTTGTTGTAATTACGGATGCTTAAGATCCTTGTGTAAGTCTGTTTTCACATTGGAGTAGCAACAGAGAATTCTTTTTTAATTCCTAAAAGCATGAAGAATCCAGACACCAATCTCCAGCTTCCAAAGTATATTATGTATGTATGTATGCATGAAGCAGTGTCTGTGTGCATATAAGTAATGTGCACACAAACACACACACGTGCATCCTGGAAGATGTGCCTACCTTTTTAGTACCCTCTGGTAAGGATTTATGATTTATTACATCATAAACATTCCTTACCAAAGTTCTTTTGTATTTTATATTGTTTGTTGTTTTTCCAACCTCATTTTTTCACCTTTATATTTTCCAGCAACATAGGCTAGGAATATATATGTGGACATTTGAGACCTAACCCCGTTATGAACCTCAGCTCTGCAACTCTCTTTGTGCCATTTGTTTAAATTTGTAGAGGTGTGGTTTATTTTGCTATAATGATAGGAGTCATACCTACCTCATTAGGCTTAGTGAAA